TCCTTAGCCAGGTAATCCTTGTAGTGAGGGAACTTCAGAGCCAAATGGAGAGCTTCCAGGGGATCATTGTTTCTGGCTGGGGCAAGCCACTGTCACCAGACATGCAGGCACTGGTGAAGCAGCTGAAGGAGGGCATCACGAAACAGCTTGATCCCTTGCAGTCCAGTATGGTCCACATGCTGGATGCCATGTGTGACCTAAGGGTGAAGGGCAGCGTATTCAGCAGCCAAACCCTGGATCAGTGGACAGAGGTGCTTGTGAGGACAATCAGGGAGGCAGAATGGCAGAGGTGGGGGGACATGAAAGAGGGGTTTCCACTGTCCCATGCTAACGCACCATTCACCAGCCAGTCTCTTCCCCCACCTCAAGTGCTGCCAATGTGGGACAAAAGCATGGCTTCCATGGTGAGGTCCAGAAGCACCAGACCCCACCATCTGGCAGGTAGGGCTCAGGCCTTGGTGGCTGCCTATCTTGCCAAGGACGTGGAGCCACTGCTTTGCAACCCCTTGGCCTACTGGGCAAGCCACAGCCAGATGTGGCCGGATCTGGCCATGGTTGCCCAGGAACACCTGTCCTGTCCACCGACCAGTGTTCCAAGCAAAATGATGTTCAGCATTGCTGATGATGTAGTGACACCCCACTGCACATCCTTGGATCCTGGTTTGGTGGAGTAGCTGGTGTTCCCCAAGGTGAACCTCCCACTGCTGGGGTTCCCCAAGCTCCAGGTGCAGATGCACTGTATGCCACCATCCTCACTCCATTCGCACCTGCATTGCATGCCAGACTCTGGCTTCTTTACTATTCCTTTCATCCAGGAATAGCACACACACCAACTGCAGGTGTTTCCTCAGCCTGACAAAGGGTTTTACAACCTGAAAGCTTGCTAAGATATATATCTGTAACTATTTGGTTGGTCTTCTAAAAGATACCAATTAGATTGACCCAGAGGACCTTGTCTGCCAGTGCCATGTTCTTGGACCAATACGCATAGCACCTGACCGGAAAGACACAGAGCCCTGGGGACATCTCAGCCCCAGGGCTGGGGCTGGCAGGGAGAGTTCTCTAGCAGCTGCTGGAGAAGAACCTCCTGCAGAAGAGGAAAGAAAGGCTCTGTGACAGTTTGGGTGCCTGAGATGCTGCTGGTGCTACTATGCTGCTGCTCACTAAGTTATTATTTTACCTGTTGTCATTTAAAGTGGTGGACTAGATGAGGTTGTAGGGTAGGAGGAGACCTCATTGGGGCACACTCCCACATTGTGTAAAGGCCCCAGTGCCAGTGATGGCATGCCTTAACACACACACACAGTCACACAATGAGGGTGTGCCTTAACACACCTGCTGGAGAAGAGGCTCCTGCAGGAGAGGAAAGAAAGTCTCTGTCACAGTTTGACTAACTGAGATGCTGCTGGTGCTACTGTGCTTCTCACTTAAGTCGTTATTAGTATTACGTGTTCTTATTTAAAGTGGTGGACCAGGCTGAGGCTGTAGGGGAAGGGGAGACCTCATTGGAGCACACTACAGTGTTGTATAGAGGCCCCAGCGCCAGTGAGGGCATGCCTTAACACACACACAAAGTCACACATCACAAGTTTTACTTGTCAGCAGTTTGAGATGCAGTTTCCCAGAAACCTCTGCACATATTTCCTTGAAATCTGGCAAGCTTCATGGCCTCAGCAGGGGCTACCATGCCTACAGTTTTCAACCTGCTGCGCCTTAACACACACACAGTTACATGACATGAGTTTTACTTGTCAGCAGTTTGAGGTGCAATTTCCCAGAAACCCATGCACCTATCTCCTTGAAAGCTAGCATGCCTCATAGCCTCAGCAAGGGCTACCAGGCCTGCAGTTTTCACCCTGCTGTGCCTTCACACACACATGTAACACGAGTTTTGCTTTCAAGATTTTGAAGTGCAGTTTCCAGAAACTTTTGCACCTATCTCCTTGAAACTTGGTAGACTTTATAGTCTCAGAAGGGGCTACCATTCTCCAAGTGTCATCCAAATCAGGCAAGAAATGACAAAGTTATAGGCAGTTTTGTGCTTCCCCATTATAGCCTATGGCCAAAAGGTCAAAACAGCATCGAAACAGCTTCAAAACAGCATCGAAACAGCAAAACAGTTTCAATCAAATGAAATGAAACAATGGTGTCAAAAATAAATGAAATTCAAAATGTAATACTGTCCCATTGAAACGGCAGAATGGAAGTTGAAACAAAATGGTGCTGTTTCACACAGCCCTACTAAATAATTACTGTAGTTCTCCCTGAAGGTTACTGAATTTTAGTGGTGAAGTGATTACTCAATATTTGTAGATTGTAAAGCATGCAGGGATTTATATCAAACGAACTTGTCCATCCTTTCCCCCCTTTATCCTCCCAATGATTATGCTGGAAAGGAAAAAACACCTGAGAAGCAGAAAATGCATCTGAAAGTTGTAAGAAAGGAAATGAATAAGCTATCCATTTAGCCTGACCCATGACTATTACAAAATTAATGTTTGTGCAGGTGTAGACATAATATTGCTAATGCTATTATTTTTTGTATTACTTCAGCACCTGGGAATTCCAGCCAAGATCAGGCATAGTACAGACAGCAGGTGTGTGGTGAGAAGTGACAAATGCCATACTGAGAGTGGCATGCAGAAATCCCTTATCTCTCAACTGAAGAGAAGGTAAGCATATCAGTTGCTGTGAACAAATGGAACCCTGTGTCTTACAAATACACAAAATGTCATTATTTGTGTAGCTGTGAACAACCTGTATCAAGAAAGACCGATGGCACCAGTCAGAATGTTATGGGTATTTATATTAAAAATATCTACTTTTCTCTGAGTATTACGTTACAGTAGCATTTCAAAAGGTAAATTAAGAGTAGCTTTAGAAGGAGGAAAGATATCCAAGACTGCACTGAATTAAGGATGAGACTTAAGTTGACTGGCTTTTGCTATTTAAATGTTTTGTTTTTATACATGCCTTTCACTATTGTTTTTTTCATGCTTATATTTATTCATAATGCAGATTTTCACAAATGTCAATGTATGTTTTTTTATATTCTTCTCTATAACAGAGCACTGTTCTGCTTTTTCTGAAACATTTATAACCCTTACAAAAGAGGTGGCTGAAAAACAAAAAAGCTTGGGAAAAAAAATTGGAATTATTTTTCGCTTTTTGACCAAACTTTTCGGACCAAATCTGCTTTATAATCCTACCTTGCCCCTTGATTTTTTGTTTTCTACACAAAAACAACTAGTTTTATTTTAATTACAATGAGACCAAGCAAAAATAGTAAATAATCTATTACAGAATTTGCAATATAAGTCTTTTCTGTCTGTCTTTGTCTGCACTGGAAAGAATTTATCAGTATTGCTGTACCAATATAGCTATACTGCACCTAACAGAGATACAGCTTATTCCTTCAAAACTGAACTGGGCACTATATCTTTTATCAGTTATCCAAACAAAATAAGATGTACCAACCAAATCTTTTCTTGGTGGTATAGGAGTGTATATAACAGGGTTTTGGCTAATAACATAAAACAATCACACACCTAACTAATACTATGATACTTACAAAAGTTGTTAATATAGTCAGTGCCTTGGTCTGTACTGCATTGTATTAACAGTAAATGATTTCCCATTTCTGCTGATGACAGATGCCTACAACTTTAAAAGATTCATTTCACTGAAACAAAAGCATAACAACACTTGGATGTTTGAACTGTGACACGATTTGCAAATTAAAGAATCATAGAATCATAGAGACGTAGGGCAGGAAGGGATCTCCATAGGTCATGTAATTCAACCCCATCCCTGAGGCAGGATCATCCTTATTCAAACCATTCTATACAATTCTGTAGCCTAACCTCTTAGTAAAATTACTGTCAACCTTGACACAAAATATAACACCTTAATTTGTCACAGGTAAGTCCCAACAGAAGCATTGGCACACCCTTGCCATGGCTGCAGCCAACACCCAATGGCTCTGAGGAAGACTTAAAATACCCTAACGCATGTACCAGAAATAAAGGGAGGGTGACAGAAAAGGAACCAGCAAAGCCCAGAAGCATGGGAAATACCCATAATAAAAGACAGGCATAGCTGTACATAGATCAACCCTGACTAGGAGCTATTGACCCACTTCTTGACTGCCTCCAATGATGGAGAGTCCACACCTTCCCTAGGCAGTCTATTCCACTGCTTTAGTTTCTAATTAAGATGAGAATAGGATGTATTTTGATGCTATTTAAGTCTTGAAAGTTTTTACATAAGAAGTTGGTCCCAAATAGCAAGAAATTGCTTCTTCATTAACCGCAAGTCCCAAATAGCCTCCTTTTCACCCCCATCCAATGTTTTAAATATGACTTGGGAGCATAGATTTATTTTTATATCATGATGTTTTAACTTAATTGTCTATTCCCCATCACATTCCCAATTAAAAATTCAAAATGGTTCAAAACTGAGATTTCAGTGTTGGTCCATCCACCCATCCAGCTTTGGTGAGCATCAAAGCTATTACGCTATGACAGTGACAATAAAATAACAAACGTGCAGAATTCTCATAATTAGCAGCAGTCAAGGAAAACAGCAGAATTGTAAGTGGCCAACTACTGTACCCTAGGCAGTTGTAGTGAATGGTGCTACAGGGGGGAAATATAATCCCCCTTTTTACTGCTAGCAACTAAAGTTTAAATCGGTCCTCAAAAAAGAAGGTGACATCCCCCTCTGGAGCAGAGCACCTCCCATCTATACTCCTGAGTTGTGAGCTGTCACTGCTGCTCTGTCCTCCCCACTGGAGTTGCTACAGTATAAATACCAGGTACATCGGGTGAGGGAGGGAAAGGTAAAGTGCCCCCCACAGTTCCCTTCTGGCAACCCCTACCACCTTAGGCCATGCCCAGGTCTCATGCCCTGCTTTCCCACGCATTGTTACATTACTGGAACACAGTATGTGATATCAGTTACATTAGGTATTAGTGATGGGAGAACCCTAAAGAGTTTGGTTTCATTCAAGTAAGAATGCCCAGTTCTCTTTGTTCTAGGAATCAGGTTAAACACCTTGTAAGCAGAGTCTCTTCTGGGATTCCTGGGCAAGAATTTGAGAAGTGGTGTGAGAATTGCCTTTCTTGCAGTATGTCAGTGCTTCTAATCCTAGCTCAGAAAGAGAAAACCAATAGTTTTCAGAACTCATTTTTAGTCTTGGACAAAAGTTAAAAACAGAGATTCTCCCTTAAAAACAGAGATTGGCACTGAATAGTAGAACAGTGACATTATCTTGCAGACTAAGGCTCTCAGGTCCCAAGAGAAGACAATATTCCCCTCTATTACAGTAGCCAGAAAAAATGAACAGAAGCTTCCAGTAATAAATATAGACATACAGGCGTCTGGTTCCTTTTCTGCCTCAGAGGCTATCAAGAAAATTTAATCAGTCCTTTCTTTTCCAGTCAATCCACAGATTATTTTAATACTTGTACATTCTGTATTGAAATTCTGTCATCCTCATCATTGCCCTTGCCTGATGGCTGCATGCAATCATTGCTAAACAATTTGTTGAAGTGCTATATTTTTAGAGAGATCTGCTCACTTGCCGTCAACTTGTAATGCCAGTTTGCAGAGGTCATAAGAAAAATAGCATATTCATGATGAGAATAATGACTTGAATGGCCAGGAATATGTGACAACCTATCTGTCTCATATTCTCCATGTGGATACCTTTAAGAGTGTCATGTATAAGTTGTTACATTTGCCCAGGGATTGCAGGAGGGAACAGCAGATCAGTAGGCTAAGAAGGCTTTTTGAATAAACAAGCTTTATCATTTTATAAGTTTAACTCCTTGGTCTTTTGAGAATAACACATGTTACCAGGAGTTGGGTGCAAAGAAAGACAGAAAAATGAAGCATCTCTGAATTCCAGAGAAGTTAAAGCTGTCTAGCAATGCAGCAGAAAACTGCAAGAAATTTAAGTAGAGCTTCACTGTATATGTGGTGGCCAGTGGAGCTACACAGAAGGAAGATCCACTCAAGGTAGCTTTTTTTTTTTTTAAATATACTAGGCCCAGAAGCTCTGTTTCTTTATAATAACCCACAACTGTCAGTAGCAGAACAGAAAAGTTATGGCACAGTAATAAAAACATTTGAGAAATATTGTATAATCAAACAAAGTGAAACTTTTAAATGGTATAATTTCCAGATGAGACAGCAGAAAGAATGTGAGATAACAGAGGAGTTCATCAAAGACCTCAAACTGCTGAGCCACACACACAACTTTGGAGACCTAAAAGAGTCCATGATCAGAGACCAAATAGTATTAAGTATAAGGGATACAAGCCTCAGGAAAACACTGTTAGTGGATCCTGAACTTAATTTGGAAGAGGCAATTGGAATATGCCAAGAGACTGAGATAACAAATTTCAGGCTACAGAAGCTGGTGGAAAAAGGAGAAAAGTCTGAACTAAACAGGATTACAAAACTGCAAATCCTAAGGCAACACACAAACAATACAGAAAGGAAGACCTCACTATGAAACAGGCAAGCAGAGGCAGAAGAAAACTGTTTTAAGAAACAATGGTCAGCTGCAGGTGCTGTGGGGGTTACCACAAACTCATGCAATGCCCTGCATTTGGTGACTGCTGTAAAAAATTCAGCCACTTTGCAAGAGTTTACAGAAAGGAGCAGGAAGCACCACACAAGGAACAGCAGATGCATACTCTATGCAAAAGGAAGAGGAAGAATTCCTCATTAGCACAATGCAAGAAAAGGTTAATTCTTCTGCGGATTAGACAATCAACTTGGACACCAATGGACTAATAGTAACTTTTAAATTCGATATAGGGTCACAGGCTAATGTAATACAAAAAATGAAAACTAAACCTGTGTGCTATGAGAATAAGAAAGTGAGACAGAGCATACAATGGGAACATAATTGCAACCAATGGTGTTTGTGCACTGCATGTTAGACACAAGGGTAATATAGTAAAAGTTCAGTTTGTAACAATTCTAGGAAAGCTAGTACCAATTAAAAGCAAGAACAGAGAAGAAGAGTTTTATGATGTGTTTCAAGGCATAGGGAAACTGTCAACTGAGTACAAGATAAAATTAAGAGAACCAAATATTCCCACCATACATGCTGCAACGTTCTCCTTGTACTTTGCGAGAAACTGAAAAAGGAATTAGATTAGTTAACATGGACATAATATAAAAGGTAGAGCAACCAACTGCTTTGGTTCATTTACTGCTCATGACAGAAAAAAGATGAATTCCTGAGATTGTGTCTGGATCCTAAGCAAATGAACAGGTACATCAAAAGGGAGCATGTTTCAGTTTCCACCATGGAAGAGGTTTTTGGCAATGTGGCAGAAACTAAATATTTCTTCACCTGGATGTCTCTTCTGGGTTTTGGCATGTTCCCCTAGAAAAGAATAGCATTTGATTATTTACCTTCAATACACACTTCAGAAGGTACTGCTTTCATACGCTTCCCTTTGGATTGTGTTCTGCATCTGAAGTATTTCACAGAAAGGTGCAACAAATTTTTGAAGGTCTTCATAGAATTATGGTTTATGTTGATGATGTATTAGTTTGGGGAAATACTATGGAAGAACATGACTTGAGGCTAAGAAAGGCACTAGAAAGAGCTTGCAGAGCAGGTTTAAAACTGAGCAAAAATGCAAATGTAGGGTCAAAGAAATAACGTATCTGAAAGAAAAGCTCTCTGAGAAAGGGATGCAATTTGATACTGCAAGGGTTAAAGCCATTACAAACATGTCACTCCCTATGGATAAGGAAGGTGTTCAGAGATTACTGGAAATGTTCAGTTTTATAGGGACATATCTACCTAATTTAGCAGAGCAAACCAAAAGAATGATCAGTGGATATGGAAACATGAAAATGAAGCTGAATTTAAAAACTTGAAGGAAAAAATAATGAAAGCTCCAGTACTAAAATATTATGAACCTAAAAGTCCCATTAATTTGTCAACAGATGCTTCTAAAGAAAGTACTGGAACAGCTTTGCTTCAAAACCAAGGGGATAGCTGGAGACCAATGGCATATGCATCTAGGGCACTCTCTAAGTCAGAGTGTCTATTTGCACAAATTGAGAAAGAAAGTTTAGTTCTGGTATATGGCTATAAGAAATGTCATATATTTCTCTATAGGAAGTCTGTGATAGCTGAAGCTGATTGTAAACCTTTGGTAACTATAGCAAAGAAAGGGTTATCGGACATGCCACCCAGATTACAGAGGCTTTTCTTTCAGCTGCAAATGTCTGATATAAACATACAGTACATGCCAGGAAAATATCTACTTGTTGCAGATACATTGTCCAGAGCATATGACACAATGGAAAATGACAGAATTCCAGACTCAGGCATAGGACATGTTAATCTAATTAAAAGAGTGACTCCTGTCACAGATAAAATGTGGGCATTAATTGCAGAAGCTACTGCACAGGACACCACATTGCAAAAAGTGATAACAACTATTTGTGCTGGTTGGTCTAGAAAACATATACCTAGCACATACTCTCGGTTCAAGGAAGAGCTGTCAGAACTAGAAAGCATTTAGTTCAAAGGCTCATGACTTGTTGTTCCAGCAGTGCTAAAGAAAGAGATGTTAAACAGAATACACAAGGGGCATCTAGGCACTGAACAATGCAAAAGGAGAGCAAGGGGTGCTCTCTATGGGCACAACATAAATAATGGCATAGAAGATACTGTAAAGGCTTGTACAACATGCCTAAAGTACAGATCAGCACAAAGAAAAGAGCCCATGATGACCATGGAAGAGCCCGTAGCTCCATGGAATCAAGTGGGCTCCATGGAATCCATCATGCATGTAGGAAAAAACTGTATTAGTACTGGATTATTATTCTCACTACCCTCAAATTGCATTGCTTGAAAGCACAACAGCAAACCATGTCATAACTCACATCAAATTAATTTCTGCTAGACATGGGATTCCATAAATTGTGAGACCAGACAATGGACCTCAGTTCAACTGCCTTGATTTTAAAGAGTTTGCAAACAAATACGGATTCCATCACAACACTTCAAGTCCTAAATACCCACAATTCAACAGCCTAGTGGAAAATGAAGTATAAATAGTGAAGAAATTGTTGAAAAAAGCTACAGATTCACATACTGATGTTTACTTATCACTCTTAAATTACAGGGCAACACCCATGAAACATGGATTGTCCCCAGCAGAAATGCTGTTTAGTAGGAAACTCAAAACCAGGCTGCTAAATCTTGTGGATAATGCTCATCAGAATGAAAAGCAAAACATGAAAACATTTTTAAAAATCAACAAACCCAACAACATAACAGGGGTTTCAGGGAGTTACCACAACTGCACAAAGATGTGGTGCTTATTTCAGATGAATGAATGTGGAAACAAAAAGCACTAGTTTCCCATCAATCCCAGATCCTATAAAGTAGTCACACCAGGACAGGTATTAAGAAAGACCAGATGACACTTGCAGCTAATAGAGGGGGAAAAGAAGTAGCATTACAAGATTTACCAAAGGCAACAAAGCAACAAGAAACAACAGAGGAGGCTGAAAATGACACAGAAGTGGAGACATCTGAACAAGGAAACCAAACAAGAACTGAACAAATAAGGACTGAGAATGCAGAGAAACTGAGAAGATCACTTAAAGCTAAAAAGCCAGCACAAAGACTAATAGGAACCTGCTAAAATGTGTTTTAACAATGGGTTGACCTAACTGCCAATGTTATTATTACATGGGGATATGTTACATGTAAAAGGGGAAGATGTGTGGATACCTTTAAGAGTGTTATGTACAGGCAGCCCCCACTTAGCACTCTTAACTGGTTCCAGAAAAACCGAATGCTAAGTGAAACAGTGTTAAGTGAAACCAATTTTCCCATAGAAACGTAAATAGAGATAATTCATTCCTGAAACTCCCCACTCATAATATAACATCACTGAAATCCCCCACTAGTACTATAAAATCAATTAATTCAGACATCTAAATGTATGTAAATACTTGATTTAATACTTTGAACTTTGAAATAATGTATACAATTACAAAATAAAGTAATGGACTGTATGCACAGATGCACTTTCACTTTCACTTTTTGCTCTTTTGTCTTCCTTCAGAACTCAGAATCAGAGCTGTCAGGGTTAGTGCCAGTTTCAGGGGATTTTGAAGTGCTTGGATGAGGATTTTTTTGAGAGGTGGCTGCAGGGGTTGAATCCATAGTTGTGCACTTCCTGAAGAAGGTTTCATTGATAGCTGCACTTTGGGCTTCTTCTTTTCATCGTAAAGCAGCCTGTAATAATTGACTTCATTATTAACTCCTCTTGCAACTGCAGAACTGCACTGCATGTCAGGGTCATTCTCATCAAAGTAGGAAAGAAAAGCTTCAAGATGCTTGAAAGCTTCAGCCATGCCTTTGCTGGTTAATGCCTTTGCTGGTTGAACATCTTCCTCATCATCTTCCTCCTCTTCGTGGCTTCTCTGCTGCTGTATTTGAATGAGGTCTTCATTGCTCAATTCCTCCCTGTTGGAATCGATCAACTCCTGAATGTCCTCTGGTGCAAGTTCATCAAATCTAATTTTCAGAAGCTCAATGATATTGTCCTGAATTGTCACCACTGGTTCCTCAAACTCTTGGGAATCCTAGGCACAGTCTGCCCAAAGCTTTCACTAGACACCATTCATTGTTTGTTTCATCCCAGGTACTTGAAATGTTATCTATCACCTTGCAGACATTATAGCCCTTCCAAAATTCTTTTGGGGTCAGAGCACCCTCTCTTTCTGTATCCCTGACTGCCTGGGTGAATGTTTTCCTTATGTAATAAGCCTTAAAGGCAGCAACAACACCCTAGTCCATCGGCTGTATGATGGAGGTGGTATTGGAGGGGTAGGAAAACTACTTTTACATTATCACTGAGGTCATCTAGTGTGGTAGGATGCCCTAGTGCATTGTCTAAAATGAGAAGTCCCTTGTGGGACAGACTGTTCTCAGTACAATATTTCTCAACTGCAGGACAAAAATAGTCCCTGAACCAACTCTGAAGGACTGGCATGGACACCCAGGCCTTCTTGTTAGACTTCCAAATGACCTGCAGATGGCTTTTAAGATACCCCATGAGAGCCGTGGGGATTTCTGAGTGGTATACAAGCAATGGTTTCAATTCAAAATCCCCTGCAGCATTGCCACTACACAATAAAGTCAATCCTTGGACACCTTGGAACCTGGCATTGACTTCTTCTCCCTGGAAATGTAGATCCAAGAAGGCATCCTCTTCCAGAAAAGGCCTGTCTCATCAGTGTTGAAGACTTGTTGAGGTGTATAACCACCCTCCTCAATAATTTCCACAAGCTTATTTTTATAACTGGAAGCTGCTTGAGTATCAGCACTAGCAGCCTGCCCCTGAATAGAAACATTATGCAAGTTGCTGCATCTCTTAAATCTTTCAAACCACCCCTTAATTGCTAAAAGAGGTTCAGAAGCAGACCCCCAGGCAATTTTTTCTGTAAACCATCTAACAGACACTTAGCCTTCTTCTGAATAAGCAGCATACTCAAGGGCATGTGCCATTGAGTTGTATCCTCAATCCTCACAATTAACAGCCTCTCCATTTCTAACATAATTGGAGCCCTACTCCTACTGAGTTTCAAAGCATTCAAAGGAATTACAATTCTACCATAATCTTTTATTTTGTCTTTGTTTTTCAATATGGTCCTAACAGCTGACTCAGCCAAATTCAGTGCTCTATAGACCTCATTCTGGCATTCCCCTGCTTCAATTCGCTTCAGGACAGCTAATTTAAGCTCAAGCATTATGCTTTTGCACTGTTTTTTCTCAGCACTTGCACTCCAAGTGTCAGTTGCACATTTCTGACTCATGGTGCAACTCAAAAACCAAAGCAAGATGGTGACACAAGCACAAAAGAGCACAGAGCGTGAAAGTTTTTGAGAAAGCAAGATGGCACCAAGGCTGCGCCCCACCAATGCTCCCTGCCCAATACCTGTGAGCATTACAGTGAAACCCACAAGCGCTAAGTGAAACCAGGTAGCAAAGTAAAATGAGCGCTAGACTGAAATAGCACTAAGCGAAACAGCATTAAGTGGGGTTGCCTGTATTAGTTGTTATATTGGCGTGGGGATTGCAAGAGGAAACTGCAGGGAACAGCAGATGAGCAGGCTAAGAAGGCTTTCTGAATAAACAAACTTTATCATTTTATAAGTTTAACTCCTTGGTCTTTTGAGAATAACATGTTCTCTTTCCCTACCCTATCTTTGTCCTATCACCACCAACAGTCTTAGCCAAATATTACCATATTATTGGAATCCGAGGTATAAACAGATGTTTCATTTGTGGAAGTTCTGATGAGTGGTGTTCCGTGACAAAAAAAGAGAAGTACCGCCCTTTACATATATTGCCCCTCTGGCAATTAACATGAATGAGCTGTGACTACAGAACGTAGTCCTGGGAAAAAGACAGGACAATGTCTCGTATACTTCAAAGGTACATAAAGTGGAATAATATGTGTGTATGTCTGCAGGATTCTCCAGGAAGAAAAGCAACTCCGTTTTACCCCCATTCCAGTGTTTTCTCACTTACACTAAATTATGCAGTGCTTCTATTCAGAGTGCATATATGAGATGAGTAGCAATCAGAAAAGAGATACAAAGATTCTGGAATTAAATAAGGCCACAATAGCTGCTACCATTTACCCAAAGAAACAGAAGTAAAGACGATGGTAATTTTTTCCTACTATATGTTTCCTTGTTATAGGACTGTTGTCATGTCTCCAGTACACTTGGGTAGTAGCAGTGAATAAAATTATGATTTTTTAAGGATAGACACTGACCACTGTACAAACTAATACAGAGCCATGAGAATATATCTAATATAAAGTGATTTTTTTTCCCCCACTGGATATATAATGATGCAAAGTGAATTAAGGTCAAGCAGACACATCAATCAAAAATACCATCTCTGCAGACAGGGATTGTTAACCCTCCTTTTGTGATATGTAATGATTCTCTCTCTTTTTTTTTTTTACAAACCTTTAAAATTTAGTGCCACAATGTTATTCCAAACAGGAATGTTACCTGCAGTAGAAAAATGGGAAAATATTGCATGGAGTTTTGATAAATTTGAATAATCTTTTGTGTCATGATGCTCTGTCTAGCCTATTGACCTTTTTCAATGCACCATGGTTTGCTGTATGCTATAACGGAGAAAAAATGGTGAGAAAACTACCAGTTTAAAATAATACCATTGTGACAGCTGAGCGTTCTACACCCCGTCCTCATTATCCCTTAGCTGAATTTACAGTGCTTATGCTACAGTCTTGGATAGAAAATAAACCAAGCGCAAATGAAGGTTGCCCTATTCTGAAAAAAAATGCTACTCTTATCCTACCATGTATACTCCATGTTCAGTTCAGGTACCAAATATACATGTAAATGATTTCTAGCCATTTGAAGATCTGTGGATACACAATTTATATCTTCAGAAGAATACTTCCTTAACCATCTGAACACTTTTTTAGGTCCA